TTGCTAATTGGCTTGATATCCTCGGGTAATCAAGTGTGGGCCTGGCCAACCCGCATCCGGAAACCCGGGGGTATCACACTCTCCGTATACTTTCTCCCTCCCTCTCTCTCTCTCTATATATATATATATATATATATATATATATATATATATGGTGCCCGTGGTGGTGATGGTGACAATGGTAGTGTCAAACTGTCAATGGGTATTTTAGTCACTAAAAGTGGGTTCTATGGGTAGTTAAGTCTTTTTATATAATAAATAATTTTAGTCTTTTAGTATATTTCTTTAATGCCTTTTATTTTATAGTTGTAAAGGTATATATAGTTGTAAATATGCAAAACATTTAGGGATATTTTAGTCTTTTAGTACATTTCTTTAGGTTAAAGTTTTTTTTGACAAAGCCAAATGGCATTTAAGTCATTTTATATAGTATCGGATGTATAAAGATAATAGTTGGGGTGTGAGTGAAAAACGGAAAAAACGTTTGTAGCATGAGTAATAATTATTTTTGAAAGTTATTTTAATGTGATATTTGACCAAACTCGAGGGGATGTCAGTGAAATTAACCCTTAGTATTATTAATCATTTCATCAATATGAATAATTGCACTATAAATATACACTTTTATACTTAAAGAACTTCTGTGTACAATTTATTTATTTATTTATTTTTGTTAAGTAAATTTTTATGTACAACGCCTGAATTATTATTAAATTTTTAAGTTAAATTTATACTCTAACTCATCTCAATAAATCAAATTTAAAACTTTAATCCAATGAATAACATATCATTCAAAGGGATTTGATACGTTATTATTAGTATTATTAATCATATCTTATGAGTAAGATTAGACATTGCACCGTAAATATACACACTTTTTTTTTTTTTCTAAAAAAAAAAAAAATTTGGTTCACACAATTGTCTCTTCTGAGACTTCCTGACCTCCTATTGGGAGGTAAGAGGTTAGGTTACTGATCCGTTGGTAAATATATACTTTATTTTAATACTTGAAGAATTTATAGGTACAATTTTTTTTTTTTTTTTTATTAAGTAAATTTCTATGTACCTCGACTAATAAAAGATATACAAAACATACACGAGTAAAAGCAGGCGGAGGATATTACTGGTCTCACATTCAAGAATAATACCTTCTCCCATGTTCAAGGATTGTTAAAATCTGAAATTAGACTTCCTCCACGATTGCCCCACCTCAAGACGAATCTGAAGTGACTAAATTTATCTCCTTCATGTTGTCACCGAGTCCACCGGACTGAGGTTCGCACCGGTCATCTTCTTACGCGGGCTTAGCACCAGAAAAGTAACGGCTAAGTCATTAATGGCGGTTATTAGTTAAGAAAATTTGAACTGGGCTTCTCCCTTGTATGGCCCTTATTGGGCTTCTTTTGTTTCTAACACTAATCAATTTTCATAACACCAAAACTGAAGTTCCCTATCAACCAGACCAGGTCCAAATATATGCATTTTGTTTAATTTAATCTTCTCCACCAAAAAGTAATACAATAATAATTTCATACATAATTTTGATAGCTAATTTTTTTAAATAATAATGGTCATATATTAATTTAATTCCTTTAAATTCCAACATTTCAAGACTTTGGTCCACATGGATTGCAGAATAAATTAAAAGTTCTCGCGAGGCCAAACTATTTTATCCAACTGTGGATGGACTATTGTTGATTCATTATCTCTCTGACTCTCCCCACTTCTTCATACGCATGCTTGCTTTCTCCACCTGCAATTTAACATACAATTAATCAAATTAAATCACTTAATTAAATTGTACACATAATTAGATTTAGGGAAAAAAAAAAATTACTCAAGTACTTGGTATGATCTTACCTCCTTTTCCCAGTCACATTGAATGGTAACAATCGCCAATATCAAAGTTTGAACCGCAATTCCACCTGAAATCATTCCGGCCCATATACCCTGATTATGAAAGAATGCATATAGATTGATTAATATAACAAATATCAAATTATACATGATTAAAATCAATAATAACTCTTTTCCCCATATTTTCAAGAATTGTTATTATTAACTTGAATAGCAGAGCGTTTTTCATTGCCAAATGAAATATGCATACATTATAATTATATACACATACATACCATGACTCATTGGTGAAAACCCTATCCCATTATAAATCTGAGTGGGACTCCAATGAGATAGTAGCTGTAACGACCCGCTCCACCACATGGTATGATATTGTCCGCTTTGGGCCTGAGCCCGCACGGTTTTGCTCTTAGGCTTCACCCCAAAAAGCCTTATACAAATTGGAGATGACACACTTACATATAAGCACTTCACCTTTCCTCTACCCAGGCGATGTGGGACTGTGCACCCGTAACTCGCCAGTGTGGTAACCTGACAGTGTCTCTCGCACCCGCCCACGGCAAACCCGCCCACAGGGTCATCACAATTCACCCCCCTTGGAGGCCCGACATCCCCGTCGGCACACTTCCGGCTGGGTGAGGCTCTGATACCCTTTGTAACGACCCACTCCACCGCATGGTATGATATTGTCCGCTTTGGGCCTGAGCCCGCACAGTTTTGCTCTTGGGTTTCACCCCAAAAGGCCTCATACCAATTGGAGGTGATACACTTACATATAAGCACTTCACCTTTCCTCTACCCAGACGATGTGGGACTGTGCACCCGTAACTCGCCAGTGTGGTAGCCTAACAGTGTCTCTCGCACTCGCCCACGGCACACCCGCCCACAAGGTCATCACAATCTACCCCCCTTAGAGGCCCGACGTCCTCGTCGGCACACTTCCTCACTTCCGGCTGGGTCAGGCTCTGATACCATTTGTAACGACCCACTCCACCGCATGGTATGATATTGTCCGCTTTGGGCCTGAGCCCGCACGGTTTTACTCTTGAGTTTCACCCCAAAAGGTCTCATACCAATTGGAGGTGATACACTTATATATAAGCACTTCACCTTTCCTCTACCCAGACGATGCCGGACTGTGCACCCGTAGCTCGCCAGTGTGGTAGCCTGACAGTGTCTCTCGCACCCGCCCACGGCACACCCGCCCACAGGGTATTGTGATGACCCTGTAGGCGGGTGTGCCGTGGGCGGGTGCGAGAGACACTGTCAGGCTACCACACTGGCGAGCTACGGGTGCACAGTCCGGCATCGTCTGGGTAGAGGAAAGGTGAAGTGCTTATATGTAAGTATGTCATCTCTAATTGATATGAGGCCTTTTGGGGTGAAGCCTAAGAGCAAAACCGTGCGGGCTCAGGCCCAAAGCGGACAATATCATATCATGTGGTGGAGCGGGTCGTTACAAATGGTATCAGAGCCTGACCCAGCCGGAAGTGCGGAAGTGTGCCGACGAGGACGTCGGGCCTCCAAGGGGGGTGGATTGTGATGACCTTGTGGGCGGGTGTGCCGTGGGCGGGTGTGCCGTGGGCGGGTGCGAGAGACACTGTCAGGCTATTACACTGGCGAGCTACGGGTGCACAGTCCCACATTGTCTCGGTAGAGGAAAGGTGAAGTGCTTATATGTAAGTGTATCACCTCAAATAGGTATGAGGCCTTTTGGGGTGAAACCCAAGAGCAAAACCGTGCAGGCTCAGGCCCAAAGCGAACAATATCATACCATGTGGTGGAGTGGGTCGTTACAAATGGTATTAGAGCCTGACCCAGCCGGAAGTGCAGAAGTGTGCCGACGAGGACGTCGGGCCTCCAAGGGGGGTGGATTGTGATGACCTTGTGGGCGGGTGTGCCGTGGGCGGGTGCGAGAGACACTGTCAGGCTACCACACTGGCGAGTTACGGGTGCACAATCCCACATCGTCTGGGTAGAGGAAAGGTGAAGTGCTTATATGTAAGTGTATCACCTCCAATTGGTATGAGGCCTTTTGGGGTGAAACCCAAGAGCAAAACCTTGCGGGCTCAGGCCCAAAGCAGACAATATCATACCATGCGGTGGAGTGGGTTGTTACAATAGCAGCCAAGGTTTATGTATGCAACATACGATTGCCATCCCGATCCAACAGCAACCCCTGTAAAAAGAAGAAATATATATATATATCAACCCTTTAAATTTGTTTTGTTACTCCTATTTGAGCGTTGATAATTTGTGCAGGTAAAGTTAAGTTCAAATTATTACCAGAAAGAACTGGTTGAACACTATTGAGGAGAACGGTGAAAACTAAGAGAATTAAAAGCTTGTTTACTGCTTCGAGGACAGGTTTACTAGATGTGAATATTAAGGCAATTTGATTGTGAAACATCATAATCAATAACCAAAAGAATAGATCGATCACTATAGATATCATCACTGACACCATTGTAGCAAACTTGGCTCCTTTTCCATTGCCTGCCCCGAGCTCGTTCGCCACCAGTGGCGGATCCAAGGGGGGACTTGGGTGGGTTTGAGCCTTTTGTTTTTTTTTTTAAGTATAAGTATATTTAGCCCAATATTTTTAAAAAGAAAAAATTAGTAGTAGTATTAGTCTCTCAATTTTAATTCATCCAAACAAGCCCAATATTTAAGCCACAATTTTAAAACAGAGGCCCAACCAAATAGGCACAAGGCAAACAAGCCATAAATAATCACCAAGTCAAAGTAAAGAGAACTTCTAAATTCCTAATCTTGTACAAATCAGATAGCTCACTCATTCTCTCCCTCTAAAGTTTAACCATATTTCTTCTAAAATTTTCCAACTCTTTAATCTTTCGATCCCTAATTCCCCCTTGTTTAATATTAGCCCCCCATTAACAATTCCTGGATTCGCCCTTGTGGACGTATATTGTTGTGGTTGTAAAAAAAATAAAAATAAAAATAAAAAAATAAAAAAAAAATAAAAAAGTACACATATACACGCTATATGAACCAAATTTATATATGAAAAAAAAAAAAAAAACAGATAGAAAAAAACCAAATTTGTATGGGATATCCCACGAAATAGTCAAGTTGTAAATAAGTCATTCAACAATCAAATTAACCTCTGATAAGTCGTAGTTTTCATCTACCAAAGTACCAAGTCTAAAAAGGAAACTATGAAGAAGCCTAACAGCAAAGACTTTTCCAGTCTAACAAAAAAAAAAAGAAAAAAAAAAAAAGACTTTTCCAGTTTATCCCCAAAAAGAAAACAAAGACTCTTCCAAACTGATCCATGTGTAAATTACCTCGAAGTTGAATATGAATTTTCTTTCACACAACTTCACGCGTCTATTCTAAGATTTACATATATATATAAGAATATGATCACCACAATGCATGCAAAAAATCTGAGAGAGATCGAGTCTCAAATAATGGCACAACCATTGAGTAATCCCATTCCGATTGTTGGAACCCAATTTTGTGCTCCTTATCCTGTTGATCTGGGAATCACCAGAAAGGTTTTGACCATAACCGATGGCAATTTCATTGTCACAGATGTTAATGGGAATGTCATGTTCGACGTAAAAGGTTCCTTTCTCAGCCTTCATGACAGACGAGTTATACTTGATGTTACCGGAAAACCCATCCTCACTTTACGCCAAAAGGTTTGATTTATAAATTTATTCATTCAAATAATTAAGTTGTAACATAACCAAGTTATAATTTGTTATATATATATTGATTATTGAAGGTCACTAAAATAATTCTCCAATATTGCAGATATTGACAGCACATCAGAGATGGAGAGTGTATAGAGGAGATAGCTCAGACTCAAAAGATCTTATCTTCACTGCAAAAACATCTTCTATAATCCAAATAAAAACCAACTTAGACGTGTTCTTAACAAATAACACCACAGAAGACCATTGCGATTTTAAGGTCAAAGGAAGCTGGTTGGAAAGATCATGTGTTGTTTATGCAGGAGATTCCTCCACTATTGTTGCCCAGGTAGTTGAGAATTTATTTACTGCATCTCTTGTCCCAAACATGACCATTCATTCATTCATTCGATGTGTTCTTAATTGATTATTTCATGTTCCATCATCACTTGTATATATACTTTTTTATATGACAAATATGTATATGTATATACAACTGAAATAATGAATTCCTTGGTTTGACGTACGTTTGTGAAATTAATGCAGATGCATAAGAAACACAGTGTTCAAAGTGTGTTGCTTGGAAAGGACAAGTTCATGGTGACAGTATATCCTAATGTTGATTATGCCTTCATCGTCGCGCTTATGGTGATCCTTGATGAGGTCAACCGGGCTGATTAGTGAGAGATTTTTATATATAATTGCCTCAATAAAAGAGATTTTATTCACCTTAATTATATACTCGATCTGTAGCTCCTGAATTCTTCATTTTTCGGAGGATGTTCGGATATTTTAATTTAATTCAATTTCTTTGGTGCATCTTTTCCTATGTGTAGTTTGGCTCCATTCATTTAGTAATTATTTCCTTGTACCAACATTTTGTATGTAATAGAGTGCGAGTAAAATATGCAAATGCACAACTAAAATAAATAATTAAATAAAGAAATACAACAATTTTACTTTCACTGCAGCACTCCAAATTAGAGGAATCAACCAGAATTATGAAAAATGAAGGAATTGAAAATGCAGCCATTCATAGACTTCTTGGTGCATGTTTGACCAACCCGAACCGCCATCAAACACAACCTTTTGGGTTGAACCTGTTCGGGCTGAACCGACAACTGTTGTACCCGTTCAGTCCATAACCGACTTGCACCGATTTGGTGAACCCACTAAACCCAAACCATCATGTCTTATCCGAAGCCCAAGTAAATATAATTTAGTCCAAAAATAATATTGGCTTAGGAGTTAGGAGACGCAAGCCCAAGTCCGGATCGGGCTTTGTGCATGTGTGTTGGATGGGTTAAACCCAACTTGGGTTAGGGCCCTCCAGAAAACTTGGGTGCGCCTTGGAGCCTAAATCCATATCCATTTCCAGCATATGTAACCACATCTTATACTCAATCTTCCAATGTCTGATTACCCCATATCAAATCGGACCAGGATCACCTCTAGTTCAACAGTAGCCCATTTTCTCTTTTTTGTGTTAATGAACAGTAGTTACTAAGGTGGGTAAAAATGTTTATTTATTTTCTACACAATTTTCACATATATATATATATAAACTGTTCACAAATACTACTCCGCATTTCTTCTTCCTTCCCTTATTTTTAGCAACCTAAATCCCGCCATTTTCTTCTCCCCCAAAATATTGATTTTGATTTCTTTCCAAAATCCCACCATTTCAAAAACCCAAATTTTGATTTCTTTCCAAAATATTTCAGCAACCCAGATTTTGCAGTTTGCGTGGAGATTAAGGACCATTGATGATATTTCAATCAACCCAAATCCCGCCTTGCTTAGATTTGCCCAAAGGTTTCAGAGAGAGTCAGAAAGAGAAATAGATCGTTTTTTTACTTATTTTCTTCTTCTTCTTTCAAATCTCGATAATTCTTTTTGATTTGTTTTCAAAACAAATCACAAACAAATCACACATCTATTTCTCAATTCCTTTGTTTCCATAAATTTCTCAGATCTATTTCTCCATTCATTTGTTTCCATAAATTTTTACTTCCCTTTCTTCGTATACTAGGTCATTTTATTCCAAATTAACATAGTAATATTGGAACAGAGCAACATCTGGATTGACTTGATTTTTTTGTTTAATTATTTGTGTACTACATAGCATCCTAAACAGTTTGTAATTTAAGTCAATATAAGTTGTACGTTGTTCCCAACATAATCCTAATAGATTATTTGTACATAACATCCCAATAGTTTGTAATTTAAGTCAGTATATGTTGTATGTAACATCCTAACATAGCAATACGTATTTTTGTATCTCAAGCAGAACTAATTATATTTCATGCTTATGTTATACGTTAAATCCCAACAAAATTCTACTAAAAAAGTGCGAATCAGTGATAGTTGTGCTCTTTAATTAGATAAGAAAAAACAAACCAAAAATTGAGATTTACATGAATAAAGCTTAGATTTATGGATGATACTCTGAAGTTTCTACATAATATTCTAGTGAAATTACATAGGTTTTTGGAGTGTGTTTGGGTTTTGAAGTAAAGTTTTGAAGTTCAAAAATTACTATAAGTCCTTAGAGAGTCTATTAATGGAAGCTGATGAAGCTTTTAGAGAGAGAAAGGAAGAAGACGACATTTTGGAAGAAGACAAACGTATTTTGGATACAATATTTAAATGTGTTTATATATATGGAATACAATATTTAAAGCTTTTATATATAAAATACAAAGGTGGTGAAAATTTAGTTACTCAAGATTTTTAATTGACGTAACCAATTCTCCTCCACTTATTCCAAAATGGTGGAAATGGCACACTATTTGACTGGAGATTTTCAATCTTATCAAATGAGTTATTTTGAATTCAATTTCTAATTTAACTAGAAATGATTTTTGAGCAAGTAATTATACCACGTCTATCTCCTCTCGAAGAGAAACGCTTTTCAAAGTGGATATGTGTTACAAGGGGAGACTTGTTCCACATCGCATGAAAAGTGAAATGGGTATAAATTTGTGGATATGCAGTACTACCCAATATCTTAAGTTTTTGGATAAATGGACAAGTGTCCACCCGTTACAATTGATATCAGAGCCAAACATAATTCTTAATCCGGTGTCACGCCAAGTGCTCGGCCCGGAAGGCGTCCGAGTGTGCCACCCGGGTAGGCAGGGTGGCCTTACAACAACGAGGGCGTTTCGAATTCGAGTGTGAAAGAATGTTATAAGGAGAGACTTGTTATACATCGGATTCGAAAGGGAAGTGAAATGAGTATGAATGAGTGGGTATGCGATATTACCCAATAACTTAAACTTTTGAACAAATAGAAAAATGCTCACCAGCCTCACCAGTTGCAATATGTCTTAAACATAATGCTACGTTTGGTATGCAGGAATGGAATAGAATGGAATGGAATGCTCATTCCAACCATTCAGTTGTTTGGTGTGCAGGAATGGAATGGAATAACCATTCCAATGGAATGAAAATCCATTCCATTAGTAAACCTATGGAATGGCCATTCCATTCCGTAGTAAGATAAAATATTTTTGTAATATTCCCAATAAGCCCTTAATCACATTCCAATAAGGCAAAAATATTTCGCATTCGCCAAAAATCTTTCACATTCCATTTTTCATGTTTATCGGCTTCTTTATTAGACGTGGTAAAGGTCTTTCATCTTACATCTTTTCTGAACATACCCAGAGCTGTCATTGACAAAAAAGTTGCAGGACTTTCAACTAAATTACAAGTATTAATTTCTTTATTTATTTATTTTTGATAAGTAGGTATTAAATCTCTTTTATCTTCTTACTATATCACTTTTTCTTTTTTATTTATTTATTTTTGTATCTTTGTGTTGAAACATTTGTGTAATCATCTGGAACCAAAAGTGAACTAGTTTGACTTTTGGACCCTTAGTCAAGTTCATTCTTGGATGATTGGAGAACCTTGCTTGATTAGAATTTTATCAAAACTAGAATTTTCAAGAAATCTACAACAAAAAAAAAATTACACAGGTGCTTGGAAATATTACCAGGTTTTTTTGTCAGGTTGATGATTTATTTATTTCCTTAACTTTGTTTGAGTTGATCTTATGGTGCACGATTTTTTATATATTATTAAAATTGATATATCATTAAATATATATATATATATATATATATATATATATATATATATATTATTTTTTAGCCTTTACATCAATTTTTTAGATTAATTATTCAATCATGGTGAGTTGGTTTAGTTATAATTTTTTTATTTTTCTTTCCTCCAATGAAAAGGGCATTTTTGAGAAAAGACATTCCCTTCCAGATTTAATGATATTCAACCATACAATAAAATGGTAATAATCATTCCATTCCATAACGATTCACCGTGTCACACCAAACATTAGAATGGTAATAGTCATTCCATTCTATTCTCATTCTCATTCCATCCCAAATTTCATTCCATTCCATTCATGCACACCAAACGTAGCATTAGGAGCATTCATCCCAATTTTGACCAAAAGCATGTTTGATATTTCCAAAATGGTATTAATATGAGTAATATTAATTGGTTGTATCATCCATGTACAAGTACAACCAACTTCGATTTCCTTTTATTATTATTATTATTATTATTATTTTATTCTTTATAATTGTTACTCACACACCTATCATTTTGTCATGGGTGAGACTTGAAGACAAAATGCACTTCATGGTGTAACCAACTTGATTCGTTTGGTGACAAAATATTACTTGTTTAACATTTAAGGGTGGAGGGGTTAAACAACTTAAATAAATATCAACTGGTTCTTTAAATGAAGCTACTATACCACATTAATGGTATACCATACTAGAGTAAACAATAGAAAGTTCTAAAATATTAGCGCGAGACATGAGGAATTAAACGCCTCTCCAATAAACATTTCCCTTGTTTTCTGGGTTAGGTGAAAACCATTAATATTTTTGATAGGACGAATTGCGAAAAAGAAAAGAAAAAAAAAAGTCCCACTTGTATAATAATTTGCGTCTAACTCCCCTTTTAAATTTTTTTTTGCACAAAACCTTCAAATAAGGGAATAAATATTCAATGCGCTTATGCACGGGACTAATTTGAGTCATTCGTGACGGCACACACGGCTCAAACCCGGTGCACAATGCACCACATACTTACTTACTCCCAATAAGGAGGGATTGAGAAAATCAAACATCCATCTACTTTAAATGCACTATTTGTCACAAAGACACAAAAATATCCCTTGCTTGATCTAAAATCAAGAATAATTCATTACTAAAATATCATCATTGGTGTAACATGGTGTTATCCGAATTTTTTTTCTTAAAAACGTAAGTAAATTAAATAGAATATGCGTTTAAGCAAGTGTAGAAAGAAAGTTGAATAAAGTATGAACACCATTGGAAGGGTTATTTATTTATTTATTGTATTTGTATTAGAAATGTAAAGTTAATGCTCAGATATATCTTTGATAGATTTATGATATTTAAAAAAATAATAAAAAAAAAATGAAAGGCTTCAGAGAAAAATAAAATAAAAATAAATTACTTGAATTTTCATTCTTTCCTCCCATCATTAATCATTTACTAAGCTAAATTCTATTTTGTGGAACAAACATATAAGCAACACACATATGCATGTGAGTTGTGCAGCGAAATAAGTTAGGAAAAGTTTGAATTTTTAAAACTGTTTTGAGAGAGGAATTAATCACGTATTCCTTTATCTAATTTATCTTACTAAACTGCTTCTTTGGCTAGACACAAACTTTTCTTTTCATTAAACACATGACATGAGAGCCACTATGCTTTTATTGATTGGCAATTCACCATTATTAAGTTCAATTCTCTCTCATAATCAAGCTATGGTGTGGTATGTTTTTCTTTTTTACCATGGGTTATTATATGAG